TGTAGGTAGTTCCTTGCAAGTTAACTGGGCTGGATTCTTTTACACCCGAACTGTTCTTTCCGGAGTGTTTAGCTTTACGCGCGTATTTGGTTCTAGTTCCCATTTTAGGCGTATTTGGTTTCTGTACTACAGCTGGTGTCTTGATCACCTCAGAATACAAAAGCTGTTCCCGTTGCGGTGATGATTTCCTTCTTGGGGTATCTTTCAGTATTTCAGTTGTCACATGTTTCCTCGGCGTTCGCTTCCCTTCATTACTTTTATCTTTTTTTCCGGGTGGTATGTTCTTCCTCCAGGAACATGCTGTCACCGTAGGCATTGGGATACTTATGAAGCCATTCACTTTTGGTTTTCCAGATGACTCGAGATTTATCCTCCTCTTTCTGGCATTCCTTTGCCCACTGCGCGCTTAACCAATTCTCAACCTCTATCTAAACCTTTATATATATATATAAACAGTCCCTACATATAAACCTTTATATATATATATATGAACAGTCCCTATATATAAACCTTTATATATATATAAATACATGTCATCCTCCAAGTTAAACGTGTGTTGATATATTGCACACATGTAACAACAGCACGGGTACGTTGTAGATGAGATGTGTATATGGTAGGTTTAAAACATACATGTTACAAGTTATACATTTGATTTTCCATTCTTTAAGTGGGCCATTTTTAAGTTTAGATAATTAAAATTAAACAAAAAACAAAAGTAGTTCAAGCAAAATAGGGAAAACGAGAAAATATGGAATCAAAGTCGATATAAAAATTGAACAGATATTGAGGAGAAACCAAAACAAAAGAGAAAATTAGCCACACCTGGTGTTCTAAATGGTCATTACTGTTTTACACAACATGTGGCTCAAAACACCTGTCACCAGGTTCTATAGTCTATGTAATATATTATACACCACAGTGTAAGTATAGAGGTGTTACTACTAGCAGTCAGGTTATATAGCCTATGTAATACACTATACACCACAGTGTAAGTATACAGGTGTTACTACTAGCAGTCAGGTTATATAGTCTATGTAATATACTATACACCACAGTGTAAGTATACAGGTGTTACTACTAGCAGTCAGGTTATATAGTCTATGTAATACACTATACACCACAGTGTAAGTATAGAGGTGTTACTACTAGCAGTCAGGGGTCATTCTACTTGTACAGCTATCGCTTATCAAAATGTCGTGAAATAAGATAGAGCCTATCAGCCGGAAACGGTGATTTGTTTCCCGTGTTATATGTATGTAATGGCCCATTGTAG